TCCTCGACACGCTCCCGATGTTACGCTCTATAGATCTTCTCTTGCAATCCTCGACACGCTCCCGATGCTACGCTCTATAGATCTTCTCTTGCAATCCTCGACACGCTCATGATGCTACGCTCTATAGATCTTCTCTTGCAATCCTCGACACGCTCCCGATGCTACGCTCTATAGATCTTCTCTTGCAATCCTCGACACGCTCCCGATGTTACGTCCGGAACAAAGTGAAACTTGCCTTGGGACATGAACCCAAAGACTTCCTGGTCTTGGACAAAAACAGCTCTTGGCTGTTCGAATGAATTCACTCGCCAGGACAAAAAAGAAGCGTCCGTGTCAGCTTCTTTGAGCTGTGGATTCTTCGAATGCTCTCAAATGCCGTATTCAGCTGAAAACACATTCAAACACACACACACACACCTCATTGTTTATGAAACTAGAATCAACCATACCTTAGAGCTGCCATTAGCCTCTTTATTGGCTGGTTTCTGACGTCTCCCAGAGGTGGACGTAAGAGATGGGTCTTTTCTACGTAAGAGTTGACGTAAGAAGTCATGTAAATAATGGGCCTTTGAACAATCTTTGTATTGTATGTATGTGGCGTTGTATTGTCAGTCGATGTTCACTCATAAGCCCATGTGAGTGGTGTGGCTCATGAAAATGGGTGACTGTGAGCCTAGTTATGGCTATGGCAAGGCGCACGTGGTCAGTGGCCACTGGTTTAGCCCGTGACACACTGTGAGAGAACCTAACCTGTCCAACCCCTTCCAAGGACTGTTTTTGTTGGCCTGGTTTCTTACGTGGTTTCTTACGTGGTTTTTGGCTGTTTTTACCTCCCCCCTGAACGGTTCAGAACGGTTCAGAACGGAGAATGAACGGTTCAGGGGTATTCCCCCCTGAAAAAGGCATGAAGAAGAACCTACGTAAGAACTCACGTAAGAACTCACGTAACAACCCGTGTAAAGGTTTCTGAACGGTTCAGAACGGTTCAGAACGGAGAATGAACGGTTCAGGGGTATTCCCCCCTGAAAAAGGCATGAAAAACCTACGTAAGAACTCACGTAAGAACTCACGTAACAACCCATGTAAAGGTTTCTGAACGGTTCAGAACGGTTCAGAACGGTTCAGAACGGAGAATGAACGGTTCAGGGGTATTCCCCCCTGAAAAAGGCATGAAAAACCTACGTAAGAACTCACGTAAGAACTCACGTAACAACCCATGTAAAGGTTTCTGAACGGTTCAGAACGGTTCAGAATTCCCCCCTGAAAAAGGCATGAAAAACTTACGTAAGAACTCACGTAACAACCCATGTAAAGGTTTCTGAACGGTTCAGGGGTTCCCCCCGTACCATGTAAAAAACAGTAGGTGGCCAGTGGGTTCCAGAGTCCCTATGCTGGCGAGGACCAACCTGCCAGAAAAAATTGACGGGTTTCCTTTTGCAGGGTTTAGTTGATATGCTGGATGGGTTGGGCTCTAAATTGTGATTTATATTATAGACATGTTTCTGGTTCATAAAGAATTTGTTATATCAAATCCTTTTATTCACAAGATATGATCTGGGACTTTTGGGACTATTGATGTGTAAGTAGGCCATGATGGGCTTCAATTATGGGTTTATTTTGGCTTGTTATGGGCCATGTCTTTCACATGATCTCTTACGTGGACTGCGACGTGGACTGCGACATGGACTCTTACATGCCTGGAGGTGGGGGTATGCTGACCACAGACATAGAGGCCAGTAGATGGTCTAAACCATACCATACATCAAAAAAGGTGCACCTCGCTGTAACGAAAACACGAAAAAGACTAAAAACCTTCATTTCGCTGTAGCCCCGTGCAACATGATGTAACTGCTATGTGAAAAATCCAAGTCAAAAAAAGTAAATTATGTGGGTAAAAAATGCCACTTCACTGTAGCGAAACTACCACCAACATTTAAAAAGATGCATTTCGCTGTAGCCCCGTGCGACATGCGCGAAACTGTGGTGCCATGGAAATTTCGCTCAAAAATTAAAAAAACACACATGAAATGACATGACACAAGCAGATGAAAAAAAACAAAAACGCCGCCAAAACCATAGAAAATAGAACATGACGTCACTTGGCAGCATTTCAGGCGCGTCTTGACGCACCACTGGACCGTTGTTTTCCCTCCTTCCTTTTCTCAGGGGATCTTCATGACTCTCTGGACATTCTTTGGTAACCTTTGGCAACCTGCCATCAGGGAGAGGCTATGTACATAGGAGGGCTATGAGAGGGGATAAGCCCGTTTTTTTTTTTTCGTTTTTTCCTTGGCCACCTCTCCCACTAAGGGAAGCCATGTATATATATATATATATATACGTATATATAGACACACGATGTTTGTTTTTTTCTCCTTCCTTTTCCCTGGGAATCTTCATGAATCCCTGGACATTCTTTGGCAACCTCTGAGGAAGTCTGACAATCTGCGTGGATCTCTAGCAATACCATCACAGGTATATGAACATTGAAGGATTGAACATGATGTAGCAAAAACACTGCATTTCCAGAAACGTGGAAAAATGGGGACCTGACAGCGTACCTTTCTGTATATATATATACATACACATACATTTATCTATGTGTGTGATTATATATGCTTATCAACATATTGATGTACATGATATATATATATATATATGTTTAGTTATTTATGTGTTTGTTTGTTTATTTATAAGATTATAATATATATATACGTATATGCATTCATTTTGTTTATTCTTTATAGGGGTATTATTCATACATATATACATATGTTGAGGGTATTTATTTTTTACGTTTGATATATATGTGTGTGAAAATTTGTATATATGTATATATGTATATATGTATATATGTATATATGTATATATGTATTTATGCTTATATGTATATATGTATATATGTATATATGTATACATGTATATATGTATATATGTATTTATGTATATATGCATTTATGTATATATGTATATATGTATATATGTTTAAATATATATATATATATATATTTTACTCTTGCATGTATACATATGCAAATATCAAATATATTTATATATATATAGATGATTTGTGTTTAAAGAAATATTTATATATATGTCTACTTATTTACATTTGAGTTTATATATGTATATATATATATTTGTGTGTGGTATATTTATACAGATTGATCTTGTATTGTATGTGATTTACTGTGTTTATGTGTATATATGTTTGTTTTTATACAATGCCTTTTTATACATGTAATGTATTATATATGATGTATATGATGTAGAAGATGTATATGTATATATATAATTATATACCATGGTATCTCCATGGAATGGTTCCTTTAATGCCCACCTTGTTGCTTATACCCAAATAAGAACAGTTTCGTTCCATATGTTTGTGTTTTTCATATGTACAACATGTAGAACGTTTTTACTTTATCTAATGATACAATCAATTTTTCCAACGAGATCCGCCCATGGCAATCCAGTCTACAACGAGATCCGATCATCTCATCAGGAGCCTCATTGGCAAGAACAACATGGTGAGATACTTCCGCAAAGATGCGGAATTTGAAGCTGCGAATGCCAAGGTTTCATGACTGGGTGAACAAATCCCCAGTTGGTGAACAACATGTTTTTTTGTGTTGGTGACATCCTCCTATCTTGAGGTGGTGAAATTGGTGAAAATATGTAAGAATCAATTCAAGATATTTCTTGTGGTGAACACAGTGTTTGTGTCTGCCCTGTAATTGCTTTCATTGATTTTCTTAAAAAAGGAAAAAAACGCCATGAATTTCTGCGGTGACGCTGTCACAGGGTTGCTCAAAGTGTTTTCCAGGACTGCAACGATGGCCAACATTTTGCGCAAACTCCGGATTTGTTTTTATATATATAATCATTGCACTCTTTCATTTGGGTGTGTCTGAAACCTGGGTACCATCTTAATTTCGTGGTATAGGCCATGTTTGGACAACCCCAGCCCACTGATCGTTGGCAAATATTGAAAAAATCCAATGAACCGTGGCTACACATATTATATATTTAAGTTGTTTTGTGGTACCAAATTCTGAAATTAAACCGACGTCAAAAGGATTTGATGGAAACTCTAACCACCACGATTGCAACTTGCGCAGTGACATGGCGCCCGTGTTGCCGGTTGGACATGACTTTAGTCAAAACTATGGTTTACTAGTAGTAAATACATGTTGATAAATATATGTAGTTGGAATATAATACTTAGTATCATACTTGATGGAAACCTCAACCAGCCAGTAAAATGTTATAATCATAGTATATAGTTGAACGTAACGATTGCAATTTTGGCCAGATCGGAGCAGTCGATTGCTGGATCATAGCAACCACAGCGGGTCACAGAACCGCCAGATCAAAAAAGGTGGCAGTTGAAAAACGCGGAAGTACTTGCTAATTCCTCAGTTGTCTTGAAATTTGTCTCTGAATTTTATCATATCATTACAGGGAAGTCCAAAAAGACAGAATACATTTTCCAGGATATGAGAGATGATGGCTGCGGGTGGCTATACACCACACCGATCCCGCCACACCAGGATCATAAACTGAGCAGATGCTTCCCAGCTGTTGGTCAAGCTGTAAGCTCTTGAAACTAGAAGAAAAGGATGTTTCACAATTTCGTTCGAACTTCGAAAAACAATGGATCCTTAGGATTTGATGTAATTACAAACCATGTTAGGTTGTTTTAGTTATGTTTTAATGTGTTAGTAATTAAGATATGATGATTAAGATAATAAGTGTCACAATTATATGTAGTTGCAATTATATGATTTTGCTATATATACTGTATAAGTGTATATAAATAGCTGTTGTTATGATATGTTTTTTTAGTATGTTTATTAGTATTAGTTCAATTATTTTATCATTGTTATTATCATTATTGTCATTAGTATAGCTACAATATATATATATATATTCATGAGGTTCTTTTCTAACCCTTGAACGGACTTGTTCTGCAAAGTGTGCATCCAAAACGCCGTAAGGCCTTTGCTCGTGCACGCATTGAAGAGCTGGAACCTCAGGGACGGCTGAATTTGAAAATGGAGTACATCCCGAGAATGGCCATTCAATTTAAATCATTTGGATTATAATTAATGGAAATGGGTATCTAATATTGTACTAATTCATGGAAATGGCCATTCCATTCGGTTATATATAATTACCAAAATGAAGCCATGGAAATGGGTTGGTTCAATAAGTCATTTGGGGAGCCCAGTTTGACCCATTTTTCATGGCGGAGGTGCCGAGTTGACGGGTGTTGTGGTCACCACGTTGCATGACATCTTGGACTGCCACGTGCCAGGGAACCCAGATGCCCATCAGGTCGTTGCTGAGACGAGCCATGTTTTTGCAGAACATATAATTTGAAACATGGTTTAAAGCATATCTATAGTTACAACAAGTATGTATAATATGTGTATATATATATATTATACAATATATATATATATATGGATACATTAATACCCACCAAGCTTCTCGTTTCTACGAACCGATCCCACCTATATAGTTCTCCATGGTCTCCCCGAGGCCCGAAGAAGATCCCCAAATGGCCAAGGAAGGTTTCCTGCAAGCAGGCTGGCTTGTTAGCTACCGGTACTTTTCTGAAGGATCAGTGGGGTATCTTAGGATAGGGGAATTTTCTGAAGACTGTTCTATAAAGAAGTCACCCAGAGGTTGGCGCCGATCCCTTATGAGAGTTGTTTTTTAATATATATATATATACATGTATATATATATATGTATATATATATATGTATATATATATATATGATTTGTCTCAGGTGTTGGTGTATATAAACCAGCACCATGATATAATGACATCGGAAAGGGTCGGGGAAAAGAAATTACCACATCCAGAGATATTGGCCCGTGTGGGTGATCAACCAACTTCACTTGTTTCCGAAAAATGATGATGTCTATGTGCGAACAATCATTTCTTGGGATAAGTGTCCCACACTTTGAAAGTTTTTTTTTTTCTTCGGCCTTCCCAACAAAATATAGCGTAGCTATGCATAGCTAAGTTGTTGACCGTTGACCGACAACCACCAGGCAAAGCAATCCTCCAAGCCTTGATGGATCCCTTGGCTTTAGGCCGGTGGTTACGAACGGAACTCCGCTGGTCGAGTGGCTAATTTGACAGATATGGAATGATATGTAAATTGGATATCATGAGATATCATCGGATAGTCTAATGGGATATATCATAGATCTAATGGGATATATAGTCTAATTGGATATCATGGGATATATCATTAGATCGAATGGGATATCCAGCAGAAATGATATAGTTGACTGATATGTCATGGGATACCCACTCTGACAGAGCAAATTGATTTCTCAACTATCTTGACAAGACGCCAAAAGACCGTTTTTACTTGCTCACAGAAAAGATATCATTGGATATATCCAGCAGCTGTGCCCACGAGGCATGGGTTGGGATTCTGAAGTGAAGCGACGCTGTGTGTCCACACTTGCCGTCGGCAGCTTGAGGATTTTGGAGGATCACCTCGCTAAACCCAAGCGTTGCTTTGATGTCTAGTTCAGGGATTATATTACCCACTACACTGGGGATTATAATCCAACCAGGTCATTTACTTTTCTGGTTTGTTTATGTTTTTTTTTGGGATTGCTATACATGTTCATCACCAATATATCGCAGGCTTATCATGCCCTTATAGCGCTGGTATGCTTGGTCCAGGAGCACCCGACATGTACCACCGGTGCCACTGATCGTTTCCATGTCACTATGGATTTCTTGGCTGTTTACTCCATTTTTTGAAGGCGATGTAAGGCCAGATACAATTGGACCAAACCCCCAAAAACCCCATCCTGGAAGACCAGCTGTAAAAACAAATGTACAACAATCTACTAAGAAGGTCCGTGATTGTTCTGATTCGAGATTAATCGAGATTACATTTCCTATTTGTTGTCTCGGCATGTTTCACTCCCCAAATTATATCCGTTGGTTGCAGACGAACCCTACTTATACCGACTTTTTTTTAACCAGGGATACAAACAACATGTTAAGAAAATGTTAGGCGTATTCGATCTCTAAGGAGGTTTTCACGAACCTTCTCATTGTGTTGGAGCTTATCACAATTCCACCGATATTCCAAGGATCATCAGCATCACCCATCAAGGTGACCCTTGTAGATAGTTCAGAAATGTCCTCATTTTTGTGTTGTTGGTGATAGGTCCTGAATGATAATCTAATGAACATAATCACTCATTTTACTATATCAACCCAGTAATTACTAAACAAAGAACCATACATATCCATAACTATCCACAAATATCACATATAATATAATTATTACAGTAATTATTCACATATGATCATTGGATTAAGTGATATTTACATATATATATATGTTTACTATTCACAAATATCCATAAACATCACTTACAGTAATCCAATGATCGTCTATAGGAAACCATCCCCGAAAAAAAGCCACCTCGAGGCCATTACCCCGGAGTTGCTGAGACGTGCACGGCAATGCCACTTGGGCCATGACATAGTTATAGTGTTGTTATAGGGTACAAGTAGCATTAACTAGTTATATCAACTAGTTATAGAGTTTTCTACTGTTTCAACATGAACTCAGACTTGACTGAAAAAAAACAAGAACTCGCTTCGAAGAGAGTACAGCAAAAACAGTGAAAAAGCAACGAAGGAACCACACTTTCTATCTCTTTTGTTTTCAGAAGATCTCAAATTCCCTCCAGGTGTGGGAGGAGAGGAGGCCGCGGCTTGGCCCCGGAGTCCACTGGAGAAGTGATCGATTGGTAGACGGCCGGTGTTTTAAAAAATCGAAGATTTCAGATTGGTGACTTATCACTGAATTAGTTCAGTGATATGATATACAATGATAATATCATTATTAACTATCATTATAGCTATTAATATATATTGTTATTCTATGCTTTTAGTTCTCATTATTGTCATGTTCGGTAGTTATGATTCAGATTATCAGCCATATGTTTGTTTGTGCTTTTGTCTTTTAGGGGACATCAATATCGATGATATTCAATGATTCAGTAATTTAATTACTATAGATGCGACATGTGAAACCCATAAAAACCATGAAACTTTAGCTTTTTGGTTCATGTTTGTATCATTGCTGTATCTGTTTTTTTAGGCCACGTATTACTGGCCTTTTTTGTCAAGCATCTTTTAATGCAAAGTTGTTCAACATGTAGTGACCTTCCAGTCACCATCTCAGTGAGAGGCTTCCGATCCTCAAGTCAAGGAGTCGACCGAAAAAATCGGAGTGGTATGGATATTTCAGGCTGCTATGGAAGCTACAAAAAATAAGCGCCTTAGTCAGTTAGCTAAGTTGTTTTATGCCTATAGGTTGACTAGGGTTTATGGATGTTTATGATACCTTTAACTATAGTTAGATCGGATATTTAGATTTTAATGATATTGATATATTGAATAAATTGTTGAATGATACTGAACAGTTGTCTCACTGAAATAAAAAAGTTCTGTATCAATGCCGAATGCCCGTGTTCCCATCCACATCTCATGGATCATCATCTAGAGTTACTGATGCAGAAATAACAATCTTGGTTGTTCACCCACCTTTTACCATTGGTGTTATATATACCGACATCCATACAGACAGACATCCATTCATGCATATAGTTTAATCTTTGCAGACAACATATAGATTACCATACAAATATAGTCAAATATACATAGACAGGATGCACAGATCATCAGATCATAGTACCTACCCACGGGATCTGGCCAGGAACTCCTCGAGACCTATGCGCGTTTGTTGGTTCACTGTTTGGAGGCGCCTGCGATTCGGATTCTCCGTAGAAATCGCTTGGGATGACCGAAATGGACGAAGATTTACTATGGGAAAACGGTACTGCACTGTATGACTTATGACATGACTATTTGTAGTATCTATCCCAGAATCCCAGGGGCTGTTTCACAAAATATTTTCCCCAAACTTTTCATCTCACAGCAACTGCGAAGTGGGAAAATTACCATGTTGATGAGGTAAAACCAGGTAAAACCGGGTACAACATGTTGATGATCTGTCGCCGGAGGTGTCGTCGGATTTGCACGAAGGACTCCTGCAATGTTTGTTGCAACTCTCCTTGGAGGCGCTGTCTGGGGAACGTTGGGGTGTAGATAGTGAGATTTTATCACAGCAACAGCTTTGGAATAGAGGTATTATGAGGTAATATGAGGTATTTCTATTGCTATATGATGGGAAGTTCGGATGGAAAAAGAAGCTATGTATGACATGATTTCTGTATGATGGGAAGAGGAGCAACAATCTGTGATTTATTGGTGATTTCTGGAAATGGGTTGTTTCCTCTGATCAACCATTAGGATTTGGGGGTACCCTATTTGCAGGTCTTCTACACTGTCGTCCTGGACAGAGCTATATTATGACATATTTATACATATTTATGTTCAGTATATTTCAGTATTATATAGTGTTGTGATGTGTTATTTTATGTGTTATGTTGGATCATCCAAACATATTTAAGCGTTAATTCAACCGCTGATTGTGGTCGGGAGGACATAGGCCTTCACATAGCTGCACAGGGTAGCCCAAGATATGTCTGGGATCCGACCAGTATTTTCATCAGCAGTTGATTTTGCACAAAACGATTGACATGAGCGATCTGAAACGATTGTTTATCATAGTTTATAGTTCTACTATAGTTTTTTTTTCAGTTTTACTATAGTTATTACTATGTTTTACTATAGTCCTACCATGGTTCCACTATAGTTCTATTATTGTTTCACCTTTTCCAGGCGAGTAGCGGCTTGATCCCCTTTGCGCGGGAATTGGCCGCCTTGTGCCCGCGGCGGAGTATGGAAGTTTACCAATGAATCAATGAATATGGATGTTCATGCGGATGTTTCATGTGATTTATTAGGATGTGATGTATAATGATATATATATAATGATATATATACATATATATATATACATATATATATATACATATATATATATATATATACATATATATATATATACATATATACATATATATATATATACATATAGGTATACAATATGGTATTTGGATTTGTCTAATAATGGGTTGTACACCCTCCAGAAAAGTTTATTTTCACAGCGGAACATGATGAGCGGCTCCAAAATTGGGGCACCCGATCAAACGAAGCCACCTGGTTACGGGGGTATATCGACCGTATCGTGTTACCCTGACCATGGTCCAAATGGTTCAACATTCAGCAGATCTCATTTTTTTGGATGCCATTGTAAGTACCATCTGGTTATTTAACATAGCCATGGAAAATCCCTATAAATGAAGGTTTTAATGGGAAAATCATCTATAAATGTGCCATTTTCCATGGCTATGTTCAATAACCAGAGGGTAATCAATAGTAGGTACCTAGCCAAGGGAAGGGTGATGTCTGCATGCTGAATGTGGCATCCAATTACCCGGTGATCAAACATGGCTGGGACTTCCCCTGAGCTCAAAAATCGTCCATACATGGGGAATGTTCCAGCAATCCATGTTGCCTTACCGGAGGGTAAGTATTCCTAGATCCCTAGACCAGTTTAAACGGGTCAACTCCAAGATTTGGAAGGTAAAATCTGCAGGAACCCTCCAAATCTACTGGGATATTTCCCAACAATTTTCAAGATTTACCAAGCCAATGACACATAGCATCACTGTCCAGGTGTGCTGGGCACTTGTTGGAGACGCCTTCAGCACCGCCGGCATACCTCCAAGTAAAGGCCCAACTTGCAATTTGCAACTGCACGCTATCACAATCATTCGCATATTATATAATATATATATATATAAATGTATACACGCACATGTGTATATCCTCATGTCTCCTGTATATCTATAGTTCCGTAAATATTGCATTTGCTTCCCCCGTTCCTCACAATACAGGATATGCAATTCAGCCCCTCTTCGCAAAACCCCACTGGAACTTAGAAATTGGTTAATTACTACATTATAGATTAATATAGATTATACGACAACATATACGTCTATGACATAATATGACCCACATATAACCTGGTGATATTTAGATATGATTATTTAGTATATGAAGTCCTATGTATATATATATATACAATAATATATATATATATACAATAATATATATAGAGAGATACACCCCCACAATACATACCATATGCAGTTGGTTCCTCAGGAGATGCATCGGCCGGAGTCACCTCCACCAAAGCGGGTCAGCCTCGGCTAAGGGAGAGGGCTGACCCATTGGCGCTGGTTTTTTAACCACCAAATAAGGATTGACCGGGGAATCAACATGATTTCAAATCACATGGTCCATGGTTCACTATGATTTAACATGAGTATAGAAGAGTCAACATGAGTTAACATCGGTTTAACATGCTGTCAGGCCAAGTTCATGGGGATTTAGCATGATTCCATCATCATCCATACTGGTTTAGGACAAGGATATCCAGGGAGACTCCCCAGTTGCGTTCAACGGAACGTGACGTCCATCTTGGAGAAACCTCACTGGGACAGGATGGATTTCCTGCCGGTAGCCATGGGTAGCCATGGTGGCCATGGCCTGATGGGACCTGAATGACCTGAACCTAGGCCTTGAGCCGCGATCTGGCACTGGCCTGTTGCGATTTGCTGCAGCGATTGGCTCCATTGCAGGTGGGCCGGTGAAATCCGACGTTGAGTGATGTACGTTGATGGAAAATGATCGACAGCTGACAAGAACTTGTCTAAAAAAATGTCTGATTTAACATGATTTATTTGAACACCTGATGACAGGTTGATCAATTTGCCAAAGTCATAGAACGAATGAAGGACACTAAATGTTCTCTTTCCAGGTTCTGCTGACCTGGGTGTCGGATAAGGACAACGATTTTTCAAACTGCTATGACATGACTATAAAACATCATTAAACAAAACATGGGGTGGTTTGAGCTTTTGGTATTTTTGAGTTCAAAGCAGCATGTCCATATGTTCCGTATCATGTTTGCGATGTTTTGCATGAAATGATAGGGTCGGAACATGGTGATGTTTGGTTGAAACGCCAAGATGTCACTCAGTGACTCCGTATGCTAGCTGAAAGAAACACAGAATCGTAAATTGCCCCATTTGCAGTTCATTTCACCATATTTCCAAATTGAATTCCAATGGTCCTAACATGACTCATTTCAACACGCGGATTTCCACCTACCTACAGACCCAGTTGTGACCCGGCTGTGACCAGGTCATAGCGACCGGAACCTGACCCTATAACATGTCTGATCCCGAACGTAACTAGTCACAATGATCTTGAAATTATAGTTCTCACATTTCCCTTTTTTGCAAGGGTCAAAATTCAAAACTCCGGTAAACTTCCCATATTAGAGGAAGCTGCAACGATGGTGAATGTCGGGGTAACTATGCCAACATGGCCCAACTATTCAGGTGAGGTTTCCCACTTAACAACTATTTTGCAGTTGCTAAAGGATTGTTTTTTGAATTATGATGTTTTCTTTTTGGTGTCTGTTTCCGGCTTCTTCGCTTCTGCTTCTCCGCTTTTCTGCTTTTCTTTCTGTGCTTCTCTGCTTCTCTTCTATCGTGTTTGCTTCTCAAGCCTAAACCCTAAGACACGCTATTTAAATAAAGCCTAAACCAACATAAACCAACATGGTGATTTTCCATTTATAGTGGATTTTCCCATTAAATAAACCCTAAATAAACCCTACATAAACCTCAAACCAACCTGCAAAAAAACTGCCGGAGGCCGCCGAGGCCGCTGGAGAAAAGATCCAGTGGCCGCAGTTGCGGAGCCAGGTTGCTTGAAGCAACTGGTGAACGGAGTGGTTATAACATGATAGAATAGCACAGACTAGAGTTATTAGTTATAACTTATAACTTATAACTATGATAATATATCATTATATATATTATTATATTTTGTTATGTGGGATTATCACATTGTGGGAGAGAGCTATAGTTGTTGTTATTGTTTTTTGGTTTATTTTTTATGATAAAATGACATGATTTCACTCATAGCTCATAGCTCATGTTTTGTTGGTGGATATATATATATATATAAATGATATAACATAATATAAATACATACTGTAGTATTCATGGGGTTTATTGGGGACTCTCCAGTGGTGGAGGGAGCCGTGCGGAGCCAAGGGTATGCGTATATTACACAGGGACCCAAGGAGCCACTTAGTGTTTCCCAACCACATGATAGTATAACATGATTTAACTATAGTATTCATGGGTTGGGAAACTCTAACCATATATAACATGATATAACATGATTTATCTATAGTATTCATGGGTTGGGAAACTCTCACCATATATAACATGATATAACATTATTTAACTATAGTATTCATGGGTTGGGAAACTCTAACCATATATAACATGATATAACATGATTTAACTATAGTATTCATGGGTTGGGAAACTCTAACCATATATAACATGATATAACATGATTTAACTATAGTATTCATGGGTTGGGAAACTCTAACCATATATAACATGATAGAACATGATTTAACTATAGTATTCATGGGTTGGGAAACTCTAACCATATATGACATGATATAACATGATTTAACTATAGTATTCATGGGTTGGGAAACTCTAACCATATATAACATGATATAACATGATTTAACTATAGTATTCATGGGTTGGGAAACTCTAACCATATATGACATGATATAACATGATTTAACTATAGTATTCATGGGTTGGGAAACTCTAACCATATATAACATGATATAACATGATTTAACTATAGTATTCATGGGTTGGGAAACTCTAACCATATATAACATGATAGAACATGATTTAACTATAGTATTCATGGGGTGTATAAACAACAACCGGGGGGCACTTTGTATGAATCCAAATATATCCAAATACTTCCTGAAAAGGTACTGCGCCCCGTCAGTATCATAACCCAGTCATACCCGTACTTTTTCAGAAGGTACGGCTGGATCCATAGGGATTGGGAATGGTTCCCGCAAACCTAGGGGGATATATGATTTCGGTTCTTAAGAGTTGTTTATTTCTTAAGAGTTCGTGGAACATGTGGAACAAATATCGACAAAATGGGCTTTGTCTTAGAAACAATATATGAGTAAAGATGGAACACATGGTGCTGTTTATCAAGGAAAAGAAAGGATTTGGGGAATTTTCTCAACAACATACGGGGAATCACCGCAGCTGCTTGGTGGGGACTGGGGTAAGAAATGTTGATGTGAAACCATCCGGACTGGGATCGCTGAACCACCGTGTTGGTACTTGAACGTCGTTGGACCTTTTTGATCCTTTTTGACTCTGTATCCTTATGTTCAGCACAAACTGTTTCACTTGAAAGTGAAAAGTGGTTCTTTGATTGAGTGAAAAGTAAAGGCTCAAAACAGTGAACTTCGGCAGGATTTCAACCGAGGGTTTAGAACCAAGCTAGTCAATTGAGCAGTGTTCAAAACCCTGGTTGATGATTAGTTCATATATGTTCATATTAAGTCGGGGATTATACTAACCAATCCTATATCTTTGGGAATATCCAATCCCGAGCAACCAGTAAAAAAGGACGACACAGGGGGTTCAACACTGACAGTGAATAGTCTGTATACACCAGCAACCACCTGATGTTGTGCACCCCCACGAACAAGATGATTTGGTATCGCTAGTCCAAGACCTAGTTCATTGGGATCTTTCAATGATCCTCCATATTTTGATCTTTGCAATTCTATGCATATTTTGTTTGAAAAATAACTGCTGTCCAGATTCAATTTCTATGAGTTTCTTGTGATTTTTACCATCAAGGATTTGGGGATTTGCCTCCCAGCTTGCAGGTGTTGCAGGCGCTGGACCGAGAGAACTTGACGCTCGGATCGGATCAATCCTGGTGAACTAATGGTCCAATGGTTAATCAAAATGTAAGGATTAACGGTTTGTTAATGGGTCAATCTCCGGGTTTCCCTACTATTTTTCTTGGTCTAGGACCACTGGGACCGAAAATAGAGATCGAAGCCACTGCAATCATGAGATACTGGCTTTGATCAACGAAGGGTACCTGCATTGAGACATGTGTTTTAACTGACCAAGCTGTCCAATACGCCGTTTTGGAAAAGTGCGGACAGCGCGGATTCAGCGATTTCAGCTTTTGGCTGGCTGTCTTTGTTCCCCCCCAGGCACCTGTTCTTTGCTACCCCTTAGCCCCTAATGTCATGAACATCAATGTCAGTGGAAACCGTATGTTCAATTCAATAGTGTTCGAGGATTTTCACAGGACTGGATATTACTGTACCATGCAACGAGAATTTACTGTATATACTAGGCTGGTAGAACACCTTGCTCCAGGTGTGGAATACCCAGTGACATGGGGCAATAGCCAAGCCACATCTGTGGGCTGTCCCCAGGAATCTTCAACGCTTGACCCGGGGGCATGAGAAGATTCGGAAGAGCATCAAGGATGCCAGACAGGCTACGGCAGTGGCATCTTTGTGAACGGGTGTTGTAACTGTCACCGGCACCTGCACCGTCTTGATTTAAACGTTGCAGACATGGCGGGGTAGACACAATATGACACATTCGCTATATGTATACCAATTAAATCCAATTAAACAGATTTGAAAAGAATATGGTTGATTTCTGTTTCACACCAAGTTCTTCTTTGAGTACTAGTTCTATAGTCTACATATATTATATATATAATGATATAATTATATATAATTATATATATAATATATGTATATTCAACATATTGCGTATAGATATACAGAATAAGGTTTTAATGTGTTACATACGTAAAAATACATATACAATTGTTTGTAAATCAGTGTTCAATGTATATGATTGTTGAATCGCTCCATAATTGCCCACCAAGGTTACTCATCATATATATATATATATGCATATTCATGTCTAAAATATGTACATATCATAATTATTTGTATTTTTTATTCTTGATGATTGGTATCAACCTCACTGCGACCTCACTGCAATGATCGCTAGTAGGGATAAGTATCCTAAAATACCCGTCTTTCACGTCAGTTAATTATTAGAATTTACCCCAATATACCCCGATATAATCAATGATTTTGTGATGTCATATGGATAAAATGGTGATATAATCTGCAAACCTTGTATATGGTAATCCCCAAAAGATAGAAATGTCATTTATCAATATAATTAGTCAACTATGGTTTATGTGGCTTATAATAGACAGGTGTGGAAGAAGTGCGCACCGTTTCGCAAGTCAAAAAAAAATCTGTTGGTATCGGACCACTTTTTGAAATTCAGATGTCGAAAAAGTGCACGCCGCTGTGGAGCGAATGAAGCACATTTGTATAAAGTTAAAAGTGACGGTTTCGGAGCACTTTTGAACTCAGAGAGAGAAAAGATCGATGTTGCCACATGGAGCCTTGCGTCAGATACATTAGCTAGATAGATAGATGGACAGGCAGGTAGATAGACAGATAAATAGACAGAGAGAATGACTCCAGGCCTGGGACGCCCTGCCCGAGTCCTGGCCCTCCGGGACTGCTGATCCGGATGAGGAGCAGCTGCCCAAAACACGTGCCACTGCGGCACCGTGGGCTGGGGATCCATGGGATTTCTGGGTATTGGTACAATTTAACCATGGAAAAACTACGAATTTATGGGATTGATATTATTGGATCTGTATAGGATTTATCGTAATTTCCTGATTTTCAAGGATGCTTTGGACGAATATGATAGAAATCATGGGGGTATCATTGGTCATTAATGAGTCATTAACCATCCGTATATTGTTTGGGGAATACATCCCAGGCATCGTAGGTGGTTTCTGTCCCATATACAATCCATATCACTAGGGTAATATATATATATATATATAATATATATATATACAGCCTGGTTATTTGTAGATAATATTTGGATTCAACAACTAAGAATGGGGTTTCAGCAACACGCATTGGGTTTAACCAATGGAACAGGTGAATGTCATATATAAGTGGTTTGACCATCAATTTGATGATAATATGAAATGGGAAAAAACAATCATGCAGTATGAAATAGGAATTGAGCCGACAAAACTGGTGGCTCAATCAAAAACAATATGATGATATGATGTGCGTAAAATGGGATAACTACTTTAATCAATATAGCTGGGTACATTACAATGAACTCACTCACTGCTACTCACTAGACATGGTGTTAGGAAGGGGCATGATTTGCACATGGCATTATTTCAGACAGATTAAAGGATGCACGTGACAATAGGGACGGAATTTTGGAATTTACAGTATTGCATTGATTCCATAAGAAACCAGTTTCCGAATTACCTGCACAAGATGGAAACACCATGAAACACCAGAACGATGGAAAGCACCACTGTTTTTTGGAAACTAATCTACAATTGGCGTTGATTCCCGCATCTGTATACATCTATGGTAATTTACTGAGGGGTAATCCATGAAGTGGGGATAGGAATTACTACTCAAGGTGTTGTTGTGGAGGTTCTTGTGAGGGTTTTAGATCGTTCTGGCGGATTTGGGTATCAAACCAGGACAGCTGGGACTGAATCCATGGGATAATTAAGGGCAGATGGCCAGTAGATGGCTGGTAGGGATAATTAATAAACAAATGTATATATATATATATATGTATAGTTATATATATATAATTATATATAAATATATAATATGTTCATAGTGTGAGATGATTTGAATTATTGCCCATAAACATACATACATATATATATATATCAACAGGTGTAGATATTATACGTGTTTAATTACTGTATATAAACAGATTTACAGAATCACAGTTGTATATCTATGTTTACATGGTGCATATTATGATTCGATGTTGGGAACCATACGATATCTGATTGCATCCACTTGTGTACAGCTATCCCATTGCCAGGCCATTTTTTGGGCGATGTCGATGTCTTCGTTAGTGAACCATGTTGGAGGTTTGGACAGAAAAATGTTGGAGGCTTCGAAAAATATGTTAAGTGTTAACGTATTATCTATGTTGAACACATCAAAAAATGATGTTCAAAACATCTGTTTTTTTGTTTTAAAGTTGCAGATAGTCGGATAAACCCAACTTCTTCGCCTCCAAATTGGTCTGCAAAACATGAACGGACGCCGATGTCGCCTAGGGAATCGAGCCATGCAATCTGTCTTGGAAATGCGGCAGATGGAACAGATGGAGGTCGCGCACGGTGTGGCCGGTGCCAAGTTTGGAACCTGGAACTTTAAAATCCAAACATGTTCATACAATACAACTCGTATATAAAACCGTAACCCCATTCCTCATTCTTGGTGGTGGTAAAGACTTTGTTCTTGTGGCAGCAGATAGTCGAAATCTCTGTTGTTGATGGTACAATTGTCATTTTTGTTGCTGTGTTTTGTTCATTTCTGTTGCCTAGATGTAGATCCATTTTGTACAGAAGGGCCGCTCTTTGGGATGCGTTTTTTTTCAGTGTTTAATTGCACGTGTATGTTGGCTGCTTATTTTTTTGGTAACATCTACAAACCAGGTGTTTTATTGGAAAACCTTCATCTTTCAATATGTTTCTTAGGTAAATCATCTACAAATGGTGGTTTTTCCATGGCTATGTGAGTTTACCCTTCAGGCTGATGCCTGCCTCGCGGCGTCTGGTACTCCCAAGGTTCGCCATGGGTGAAGCATGGGGATATTCCATGGGGATCCATGGGGTCATAACGGGATTTAACCATCAGAAATGCGTGGGTTCAAGTGGGATATACTGGAAATATCATGGGGATAATCCGGAGGGTATACCACATGTTCAAACAAACGCATATCACCTATGTGTTTGGCTGTTTCAGTACCAACTTGAAATCTGAGCACATGACCCAGCAAAGCTGGTTACACCACTCATTGCTCAGATTATTCAATTCAACGGAAACGGAGATGCAACCAAATGCAACCAACCAGACCCCACTATTTATAGGTAAGGCAAACACACACACACGAAATGCGGCTTCTCATCAGAGTGTGTTTGAGTGACATAGGGGTTAGTGGTCTTTGCTCGAAAGTGAGAAGGGTGGCGATTTTGCTGAGACCTTCGTCAACTGTTGGGATGTTTGTCTTGCCTGGATTTCGCTCATTACCATTTGGTAATTTAACATAGCTATAGAAAATCACCATTTCTTAATGGGTAAATCAACTATAAATGGGCCATTTTCAATAGCTTATGTTAGTCTACCAGAGGGTAATTGGTGACAGCTACATAGCCTCCAAGCCTCCGTGTTGTGTTGGCGCCGCGTTTCGCCAGGACGGCACTACACCGTCCAGTGGCTCAGGCTCAGGTTGCCATGGTGCTCACAGTGATGTGGGAAACCTACTTATAAACCTACCATTTGGGGATGGTTTATGATATTATAACACCATATAACACCCATTTATATCCATCTATGGTGATTTTGGGAGTGGTTTATTGTTGGGTTTGCCACAATAGCGAGAATCGCAATCCTTGATTAATCATGATAATTACAAAACATAATAGTGATGGAACATTGATGAGCCTCATTCAACATCATCATGAATGTCGTCATCATCTTATTGCCATCATTATTTGTCATGATCAAATATATATATATATATATAATGATAAATGATAGTAATTACTGGGTTCATGCTTAACTTGAACCATATTCATACTATCATTGATAGTATCATCATGCATTATCATCATACAGCATCGATGCCAAGGCCAAGACGTGACTCGGGCGCCGAGCCCGACGACGAGGGCCTGGCGTGGTGCTGGCCAGTGTTGGAAAAAGACTGGGAAAACCATGGAAGAAATATGTGAAAATCATGGAAAATCATGGAACATCTCTAGAAATGGAGGTTTTAATATGGTTTAATGGGGATTCTGATGTACAGATACCCTCGCTGAAAATCCACCATTCCATACCAACCTCCATTTACAGAGGATTTCCCACCTTGTCACTTTCCAAAAATATCTGGATGATGTCCAACTAAGGATGAGTTTGATCATGATCCCACATCGTGACGTCAACGCAAAAAGAGGAATCATCCCCAAATGGCCAATAGTTTCAGCTATTTTCCGGTTAGTGAGTTGTTAAATTCAGAATCATTCAGCCTAGTTACTCAAGGCACCACCTTGTGCTATCAGTATGTCTGGCCTCTTATGGATCTTCTGGGGATGGAGCTGTTTGGAGCCCAATGACCACCCTGCGGCGCTGTAGTACTCAAACGTGCAACGGAAAATTCCCTGTAAATGGGAGGTTTGTAATGGGAAACTCATCTATTCATGGGGGATTTTCAATTGGCATGTTAGATTACCGGAGGGTCAGATCAATGATTCGGCCTTCATTCATGTCAGTGCAGACTATTGCAAAGTTATCATCCTTATGTACAAATCGAAGATTACAAAAAATAAACAACAACGGCTACCTTCATTTGAGGATGCTACCACCTATCCTGATCTACGATTGGTACGAATGTAGGGGACTTGTCGATGTTTATCATCCAAATCGGTGGGAGCAGCAGCAATCAGCATGTAAACAGTTTAAATACTGTTGTAAACCTACATTAGATACTCAGCAAAGTACATAAACCCAAATATATATATATATATACACATATAAGTATATAAGTATATATATATATATGTGATTATATATGCATATATAAATATATTATATACTTATATATATATATTTTTTATACATCAGTCTACATATACGTGACATTCCGCAAAGAAACAGTCCATCCCAAAATTATAATGGATAGAGACCACTCGAAGCGGGTTTTTAGTTGCTTTGAGGGAAATTTGATGGAAATTTACCCACATAGATGATAAACAAATATGGTTAAGATCTTCACTTATTTGATGGTTATCCTCTTGGTAATTCAGCAAACTTATGGACAATGGCCAATTGATAGAGGATTTACATAAGAAACATTGTGTTTTTCCAATGTTAAATGAACAGAGAAGGTATCACCCAGTGACCCAGACAAGATTCGAATTATGCGGGAAATTTCAAGGTTAGAAGAGATTCCTCGCCGAGCGTCGTCATCTTCATGGTATTTGCAGGTGGGCCGCTGACTCTGCCTGATTTTTAAAAAATGATAAAGCCTCATTGGTGGTTGTCGGTGGTTTATAAGCCTTCAAAAGCACCCTAATTTAGTTGGCAAGGTCGACTGGGGCTGACGCCCTCTGATTGTTAAGCTGAAAGCATGCCCATCATGAACCTGAATCGTGGTTGTTTGGTACTATGAAGGTGTGATTTGAAAGATCTTGCTCAAATAAGGATGATTTGGATTAATTTGGTAAACCTATTTTTTGTTTGCATCACTTCAAACAGGGGTATACCCAATCTTGAAACCCAATTGCGGATGGTCACTACAGCATTGGGTAGTTTCCGCAAGGTGATGGCCCCCCAGTCTGCCATTGTTGGCGTTGGCTAAACTGCGGCTATGGCACATGATCTCCGTAAACCACTGGTATTGGAATTTAAAAAGCAACTTGGCCAACTATGCAACACTACCTTGTACCCTCTGGTAATTTAACATAGCTATGGAAAATCACCATTTTTGATGGGAAAAACCACTATAAATGGCCATTTTCAATAGCTATGTTAAATTACCAGAGGGTACCATTTGCAGGGGCTTTAGCATGGTTGAAAGATTTCCGGAGTTTCAGCTACGTAGTGGCTTGACTTGTTCAGCCAGAGTGGACCTATATTCAACATTCTATTCAACATAAAAACAACATGTATGCAACATTTGTTCAACAAATATTCAACATATAGTCAACATTTAATCAACATCTACTATGAAACAAATATTTTTCATCTCAACTAATATGCAGCATCTATTCAACATCTATCCAACATAAAAACAACATATATTCAACATTTGTTCACCATATATTCAACATCTATATATTCAACATATATCCAACATCTATTCAAAGTCTATTTAACCTGCATGTATATATACATTAAATACGTACATAGTTTTTCTATGTAATATATATATATATATAATTCATATAGTATCATATATATAATACAATGTATGTATATATAAGTATTATTCATATAGTATCATATATGTAGTGTCATATATATATATATGTATATAGTATCACATAGTATTGTATATATAGTATCCAATATACATAGTATAATATATATATAGTGTAAATATATATATAGTATAATATTTATATATTATATAGTATAATATCTATTCCATTGTTTTTTGTTTAGTAAGTAGCGTTTCTATTTTCCAAATTTTGGTGGATAGTCGTTTGTTCGAGCCAGGAAGAAGCCAATCAAAGCGAGGTTCAGCTGCACTCGTTTGGGTTGAGATGGAACCATGGGTGACTTTGAGGGCTAGTGGTTTTTGAGTTTGCTTTCGATTTTGGTGTGTATATCATGCATACATGATATACACATACATGTGCAACGTTGTAGCAAAACAAAAAATGAAGCTCAGCATTTTGTGCAAAATACTGTCTGCACCGGGGGTCTTGAGAGTATGAATGAACCAGGTGATTCATGATTCAATTGCAAGAAATGTATGGAGCAGTGGAGCAAGTGGCTGGAAAGCAATGATGTCTTCGCTTGATGATGACGTTTTGGCTGATGATGAAGAACATTTTTTAACAACGAGCTGGATGTGAGCTTTGTTGGATTTTTCGATGAAAATTCTGTATTCACTTTTTATGATTAAGCTGCTAGGTCTCAGGATTTTGACGGTACGAAAGACCGCGACTGGTTTGTTTCAAGAGTATGGGACACCAAAAATGAATACATAGAGAATCAACTAGAGGGCTGTCGCACTTGGGAAATCAAGATCAACTATTATTGTACAATCCTGATTTTCCATCTATATCAAAAATAAATCGCCGTGGTGACTCCAAGTGAGCCGTTAAGACATAGTTGTGTTGGTAATTATAGTAGCATGTAGTAGCTGAAGATAGTGGCCGAAAAACTACCTGGTTTCATACGGGTTGTTGGAACCTGTGATGTGACAAACCCAAACCCTCAAACAATCTTTGTTTCACCAGAATGGCTTGGGTGGATTCAAAAAATAACTTAGATTGGAGGCTTAGATCATGAGAATCGTTATCATGGCCAAAATCTACCTGGTTCAATATGGATTGTTGTAGGCAATAGTAATATAGTAGGATGTATCTATAAGCCACAGCATGCATTGTTGGTGCAAATATTTCTTAACTGAGTTATAAGCAATAAATTTCCAGGTCAATTACTTGTTGCATGCAAATTATGGTGTTTCTTAACTGATATTTTGAAACATTCAGCTAAATAGGTGCTTACAAGATAGCAACAACCAGTTATCCAATGATTAGCAAAACAGTTGCAACATGCACATATTATATATATATATATTTCATATATATATATATATGTATATCACATATATATATATATATACACATATGAGATATATATATATACATGTGTGTATAGCATATACCTCGATATGCTGGTTTTCTCATGTTCCAAACTTCCACTATCTTCCACTGCATAAACGCGTGTTCATGTTCCATGTACACCAGGGATTTAGTGGATAGAAGTGATATAAGAATCTGTTTCACCCAGTACTTAGCCAGGCCATTCGCCTGGAGAGTGAGTTGCCGAACCCCGCAGCTCAAGCGGCCGGCCCGGTGCCAAGGTGCCCGGCATCGCGGGTTGGATGGGGTTAATGAATGGATAACCAGAATGGTCACTGAGTTATATTAATTGCTATCCATTAATTATTAATCACTGAATCACTGTAACTGTAATATAACCTAACCAATTATCAATGATTCAGTAACCTAACTAATTATACATAACAATCGTTAATAATATATCCTTAATATTTCGCCCAGTGATAAGAACCTGTCTTATAATAATTTTCCGATATCACCAGTGATTTTTCAATCTTTTAACCAGAAGATGTGAGAAACCCAATAATAAACCTACCATTTGGGGATGGCAGTTACCCCCCATCAAAATGGTGATGGAATGGGGATGATTTATCATTGGTTTACCACATTAATTGTTATTTTATGGGATTATTACAGTATAGCACTGTGTAATGGGTTGATGCATTTTATTGTTATTTAATGGGTTTGATATGGATTGATAACAATAATGATCCCATAAACCGTTGATTATCCTATCTACAATGGATTCAAATGGATTAATAACAATCAAAAGTACTGATCAAATGAGGTTTGGCTGAAATTTTAGTGAAAAATCCCATTCGATCCATTGGCTGATCATTTTTTTGTCCCGCAGATTGCCATTTGTTCCAGCATATTCAGACACAAAGATGGTATGGAATGGGGGTTCCCTAACTTACATGGCTGACCTGAAAATGGCTTGTGTAGCCCCATTTTGGCAAGGCTTTTTATTATAAATGTGAGACCATTCAAAGGTTATCATTGAGGTAGCTGCTTTAATTGTTATAACATGTCGACATTGGACGCCATGTCAACCACTCCAGGACGCCGCCGCCGTGCGGAGTGGGACTCCTCAGAAACGGAGCACAGGGAGGTAACTCCTGACCGAAGCGATCAACAGCTTGTTACTAAAAACACCAAAAAGTTGCATTGGATTCTATTCAAGTTCGTTGAATTCACTTAGATTCTTGTACAGGTTTTTCAAGTTTTGCCTGGTTGAGGCAAGTGCTGCGAGATTTTGGTCAAATTTGTGTCAGATTTCGTTAGATGTTTGGAAGCTCCGAACGCTCTATCTCTGTGAGGCGGG